AGTGTCTCTCCCACCCCACAAGTTAGGAGGTCAAATGTGGCCAGTGATCACTAGCACAGGGTGTAGGACACTGAGTCACAACCCTGTGTTCAGCTGTGACCAGAAGACAGAGAGTTTCCCAATTTCAGCCTGGTGCGCACACCCTCCTACCCCACACACTAACCTACAACCTGTTGTGGTGTGACATTTCCCATCTTCAGAGAGGGAAAAAGTGGAAAATGAGGGGACAAATATGCAGACTGCAGGGGACTGCACTTTCAAAGCCTAAGCAAGGAGCACAGCACAGCTCCCATCCATGGGGTTAAATGCTCGGCAACACCAAAGTCCTGTTGGGAACAGTCCCCAGCCCATCTTGTCCCCAGCTGTGCCTCCTGGGCTCTGTGTCACTGCTAGCTGGCACAGCCCAAAACCATGCCAGGGAGGGTGCTAACAACCACATGAGCCATCATCCCAAGGCAGTGCTTAGGCCTGACCCTGCTCTTGTTGTGCTTACTAAGACAGATGAAGCCAGAGGGACCAGAAGGGAGCCTTCAGAAGGCCAGGTCTACAGGCTCAGGATATCTGCATATGAAGATTCTGCATCTCCCTCCTCCTGAGTCATGGTTTTCTTTTTATTCCTAACCCTACATCCACCATGCCCTGGCACTTTCACTCCTTCCTGCTGCTCCTTTCCACCTCCAGAAGTGGGGCTGAAGCTGGCTGCGGTGTCAAGCAGCAGAGGCCAAGCAGCCAGGCTGGAGTGAGAGAGTTGCTGGACTGCCTCTTCCTGCCATTTCACAGTCCGGACTTAAGCCAGCACTGAAGTTTCCTAGGGAACCTGAGGCAGCTGCAGCCAAAGCAGGATCACTGGCAATAAGGGATTTTCAAGCTCAAGCCAAAAACCATCTATTCAGGCTCACCAGCTGCCAAACCTGGGCTAGCTGCACAGCCGAGCACATGTGCATTTGGCAGAGGGTCACTCCGCAGCGGGAATGCCTCCCCCCTGTGCCACATTGTAAAAGAGAGGCTGCACATGGCTGCGTCTCTGAGCTCCCCAGGCAGCTGCTACACTAAACATCCCCGGCAAACCCTTCACTAAGTCACACTTCGTTGTCACCGCAATGCAGGGATGTATTCATCATCCTGGCCTGGGGATTTGCCGCAGCTGGCCTCCCTGATCTGTTCCAGGATGCCTAGCTTCATGTCACCAATCTCTGCTCAGATCAGGTTTGGATGCCTGTGAAAAATGCCTTTGCAATAGGATTTTTCTCCTTCTCCTTCTCCCTCCTGCTGTTCTTTAGAGCCAAATGTACTTCAGCAAAATCCAGGCTCTTAAACCACTTTTTCCCAATACTTGTGCTTTCTAATGACATCTCTTCCATCTGCTAGCAATAACATAGCAAGTCTGGGCTAGAGCAAGAATAGGTGAACCTCTTCACCTTTTCAAGTGCCTCTCAACACCTGAATCCCAAGTGCACTGTATTGGTAGCAGATCTGTTCCTGCCTGGAGCTGATCTCATCAGCAATGCAGTGAATGACTTCATCAAGGCTCCCTCTTGCGGGCTGGGGGCCTTCAATGCACTTCAGCCCCATAAATACAAGCAGTTTTCTCTAAACTGGCAGGTTGTCCTCTCCCTGTTCTGTTTTTGTCTTACCCAGATACATAACCTATCAACCCCCAAGCCATGACTATGACTTCTATCCTGTCAGTTTTCTTTCATCTTTGCCTGCTGCTGCTACTGTTCCTCAGCAGCAAGAGCATTCCCATGTTCTCAGAGCGTCTCCTGACTGTCCTGGACTCTCTTGGGAAGACATTAGTGGCCACAGCAAATCCAGGTGAGCCTTTCCCAGGGGGTAATGAGGCACTGACACTCCCTGCACTGGCCAGGAGGGCACTGCTGCCCACTCAGTTGAAGGATCAAGACACCACTTGAGTTGCCCAGTCTGGAAGGAAGGCTCGAACACAAGGAAGTGGAAAGCTGCACAGCTCACCTTTAATTCTGGTATTTGCTTCTCTCGGTTGCTTGTCCCGCTGAGCCAGTTGCTCTGACAGAACCAACTTGGAAAGGAAATTTAGTATACAGAGGTCAAGGCAATTCCCCAAAGGAAGCAAGTGCCATTATCCCCATACTAACGACTGGAGAAACTGAGGCAGCAAGCATAGCTGTGCCCTTCCTTGAGTTTTGCTCCTAGACATGCTTAATTGCAGAGATCTAGCCAGAAGGTTTTCTGATCCCTTATCCAGCATCCTGTTTCCTCATTCTGTTCCTGAAGTTGTAGAAGGATGTCTTTGATCACTGGGAACAGGTCTTCCTACAGTGAAAAGGGAAATGCTGAAAGAAATGGAAGGGAGCAATCCTGGTGAATGACTGCATACCACAAGAAAGTGCTGCATATGAACAGGAAGGAGACATTTCCTATTAAAGGAGCTCAAACCTGCTCTCCCTCTAGAGAAGTATGCAACTCTATACTTGCCTCTCTAATTGCAACCCTCCACTGGGAAAGGTGCTTAAAAGTATTGCGAAAGAAAGATTAGCCAAGGTCAGGAATAGCAGGGCTGCAAATCCAGAGGATTGCGTAAGAGATGCATGGTCCGAACTGATGTCAGGAGAGGTGCTGCCAGCCCTGTTTCAAGAGAAAGTAGTAGAGGTAAAACTGAGCCCAAAACCCCAGGAACTGGCTGCTGCCGTCAGCCAGAGCAAGAAAACAAGAAAAGGGAACAGAAGACCACGGTACCAAGCTTCAGGAAAGTGAAAGGTCTCTAGCAGAATGCCTTGCCAAGGAAAGAAGAATGTGACAGGGGAAAGGGAACCTCACATCACGGGCCAGAGTCGATGACCCAGCAGGAAGCCCACAAAAGCTCTTGCTGCTGCACACAAGCCCATCTGAAAAACATCACAGCTTTTGCATAAACACACAAGGCAGAGAAACCAAACAAACACTGGGACAGAGCGAGGCTGACAGGGTGGCTGGCTGAAGACGACCTGGTGGGTGGCAAACCCCTTTGCCAAGCGACCTGGCCACTCCTGCAAGGCCATCTTCCCTTCCCGACTGAGGGTGTCGCTTGTTCTGCGATTCACCTCGACTGTACAGGCAGCAAAAGCTATTTGCTAAACCCAGGTTGATCAGGCAGCAGCTCTCCTGCCTGCTGCTGCCCTCTGCAGGACAGCCTGCATCAGGGCCTGCCAAACCTGAGATCCCGCACCCCTATGCCAGCACAAGCTTTCCTTTCACCAGGATGCAAACTACCCAGGCCTCCAGCTTGCACATAATCACCTTCCTCTGCAACTGGCTACGAGCTAATTATAGTTCCAGTACTTTCATTCTGGAGCAGTGTTAATTACAACACAGAGTGTCTCACTGCATCCAAACCTAGTTTGGGATTCCAGCTGTTGTTAAAAATAAATCGAGAAAGAGAAGAAATGTTTTTTTCCCTCACACATCATCTAGCCAGTGTTACAGGGAGCAAAATTCAGACTCAGGTAGGTTTCTTTGTTGCCCTTATGGTCCTTGTTATATGGAAAGCAGATGTAACTGAAAGGGAGACTCCTAAATCTATGAGAAACAAAAGCAAGGTTTGAAAGGCCACTGCTGACATGGCTGTTATGCATGAGTTCACTCGCCATTATTTGCAACCAGCTGAAAAGAGGTGCAGCCTTCCGTTCATCCTAGACATGCTAACCACTGGGTGTTGCCAAAGAGAAGAAAATAAACAATCTTGAGACTCAGACAGATTGAAACCTGAGGAAAAGGGGACTGTGAAATACCAGACTGCAAAACCACTCCTTCAGAGGCATGGCTTTGTGGGTTGGATAGAAGAGATGCATGCTTTCTATGCAGATTGTACATGACCCAGAAGAGCAATATCTAGGCCTCAGTCTCCTAAAAATGACTTAAGGATTCTCAGAAAAATCAGAGAGGTAGTAACGACAGGCAAGGCTGACTTATAAGATTAAAATAACCTGTGTAAAACCTGTCTGAACACAAGCAGAGGAAAGGATGTGGCAATTTACTATGAAAGGTATTTTTAAAAAAGGCTTTGTGATGCAAGGCAGTAACAGTTAAAAAAAGAACTACATTTAAGTGTCAAAAAGTACTTTATAATGTCCCAAAAATCCCCCCCAAAACAATGGCTATCCATAAGGAAAAGACATTAGGTGTGACATCCAGGGCAGTTCCCTTGCCTGCCATGTGCGGAATTAGCGCTGTAAATGAGTAACCTGACACAGGACCACTCTGACTCAGATATCTGTCTCCAAGGTTAGGCGCTTTAAGGCTGAATAGGCTGTATCATACTCATAGAGGCTCCAGCGGGCAGCTTTGAACACCAGTGCTGAAGAGGTGCTCTAGGGACTCTTCAAACAGGTGGAGGCCTGCACTCCCAAAGGTCATTGAGTTGGCACCTTTCACTGGCATTATTTCAAAAGAATTTAAATCACCACAGGAACATGGGCACACCGTTCCTTCCAAGACCACTGGAGCACAGAGAAACAAGTAGTATTAAGTAACACAATTAGTGCTGGCCTGAATTACCAGAGCTGCAAGGAGAAAGAGGACAAATGGAGTTTCTGTTCCTGCAGCCCTTAGTTATTTCCAGGGCTTTACCAACCACCCCCCCGCCGGCTGCTCTGCCAGGTCAGAGAAGGCCAGGCTAGGCCCTGCCAGGAGAGGACTGGCAGCTATTTAAAGATGATTCAGCCCGGGACACGGGAGTTCTCTCACTAGTATTTGTAATATCTCCTAAAGCACCACCCACCCCCCGTAGACGCCGTCCACACAGCCACCAAAGAGCAGGGCCCCGGCCACCACCCCAGGGGCCGACGCCAGCCCCCTGGGGGCCGGGCGGGCCCGCACCGCGCATGCGTCGGAGCCGGCGGACCCGTGTCCTTTCAGAGGACATGCAGCTCCCCGCTAGGCGGAAGTGTTCGGCCTCTGAGTCGGAAGTGGCCTCACCTGCCAGTGCGAGGGCTCTTCCGGGAAGGGCCGGGTAGGCTGGTTTCCGTGAAGCACCTGGCTCCGGCCGCCTGGCCTGCTTTGCTCTCCCCTGCTCTCGATGTCCTTTTCCTGGAGACCTTCTGCTTCCTTCCCCATGCTTGCGCCTTTCTTTCCCCTGCGCGGTGAACTCTATCGTGGATTGGGGGCGCACTTCGGCAGGGGGCGCGCGGGGAGCGGGGTG